ACTTGGGTCATGGGGTTCAGTCCTCTTTGCAAGGCCGAGCAGAGTAGCACTTGGAGTCTGATCAGTCCCTCCTGCCATTGCTAGTTTCTGTCACATGATGTCACAGGTGAAGCCTGGTCCTGCCCAGTTAGGCACAGCCCCAGGTACATCCCCTCATGGATGGTGCTAGGGCCAGCTCAGCCCCTTTGGGTCCTGCTCAGGGCTAATCCTTCTGTTTCCTCTTTGTGGCTCCATAGGTGAAATCCCTGGAGCTGGTGCAGCCAGTATCATGTCTGCCCTGACGGACAAGGCCATAGTGAAGAAGGAACTGCTGTACGATGTGGCCGGACGGGACAAGTACCAGGTCAATAACAAACATGATGCCAAGTATCCACCACTGCCTCCCAGCAAAATCATCCAGCGGGCGGAGGAGCTGGTGGGGCAGGAGGTGCTGTACAAGCTGACCAGCGAGAACTGTGAGCACTTTGTGAACGAGCTGCGCTATGGAATCCCCCGCAGTGACCAGGTGCGTCCCCTCAGCCTGTGTTCCTTTCCCTTAGCTGACAGTTGCTGGGCCTCTGCTGTGGACTTGTCCAGAGTACAGATGGAGGCATGGCAAGGCCAGAATGTTGTTGGTAGGTGCCGTTGAGTCATCTCTGACTCATCGTGACCTTATGTACAATGGAATGAAACACTGCCCGGTTCTACGCTAGCCTCACGATCCCTGCTACACCTGACTCCATTGTTGCAGCCACTGGGTAAAACCATCTTGTTGAGGGGCTTTTCCCTCCTTCATTGACCCTCCACTTTACCAACCATGATATCCTTCTCCAGAGGATGGTCCATTCTGACAACATGACCAAAGTAGCTGAGACAAAGTCTGGCCATTTCTGCTTTTAAGGAGCATTCTGGTTGCACTTCCTCCAGGATAGATTTGTTAGTTCTTTTAGCAGTCCACTGTACTTTCAGTATTCTTCACCAACACCACAACTCAAAAGCATTACAACGCTTCTTCAGTCTTCCTTATTCATTGTCCAGCTCTCACATGCATATGAGGCCATTGGAAATACCATGGCTCGAGTTAGGTGCACCTTAGTTTTCAAGGAGACATCCTTGCTCTTCAGCACTTGAAAGAAGTCTTTTGCAGCAGATTTGCCCAGTTCAGTATGCTGTCTGATATCTTGACTGCTGCTTCCATTGGCAT